AACACAAAAACACCACTGACACCATCTTTACCACATAACACAACTGACAGCACAATGTAAACAAAAACACCACTGACACAATCATGAAAACACAAAAACACCACTGACAGCACAATGTAAACACAAACACACCACTGACACCTCAATGTAAGCAGAAAACATCATTGACACCACAATGAAAACACAAAAACACCACTGACACAATCATGAACAAACAAAAACACCACTGACACAATCATGAAAACACAAAAACACCACTGACACCACAATGTAAACACAAAAACACCACTGACACAATCATGAAAACACAAAAACACCCCTGACACAATCATGAACACAAAACACCACTGACACAATCATGAAAACAGCACTGACAGCCATCAGAAAGCCACTAAACAGTAATGACATCATGAAAACACAAAACACCACTGACACCATCTACAAAACACCACTGACACCATCTTGAAAACACAAAAACACCACTGAAAATAAATAAATTCCACCGACACGCTACAAAATCTCAACTGACATCATCGTGGAAGCACACAAATCGCCACTGACACTGTTATGAAAACAATAAACAGCAGGACACAAACACCACCAGCGCTCGCCACCACCGTCGAAACACACACACACACACACACACACACACTAAACCATAACATTTCAAAATGACAGCTTTGTCAAAAAACCCAAACACCATCACGAAAGCCGCACTGACAGCATCATGGCTCCATCTCGATAATAACCGGATGATCCGCCGATACTCACTTGAGTCCCAGCCCGTGTAGATGCTGTCCGATGAGTCTGATCACGTCCTCGTCGCTCTGGGACAGCCGTTTCTTCTTCTTCATCCCGGTGTCCGGAGCCGGGCTCTCGGTGGACGACGGCAACCCGTTATTAGCGGAGGACAGCAGCCCGTTGGAGTGCACAGCTCCCGCGGCGGAGGACGAGGACTCTCCGTTCCGGCAGGACAGCTGCGGCTCCGGCTCTTGTCCTCCGGTGCCGTTGGCCTGCATGTTATGATCCGCGGTGACGGTGGCGGATCCGCGCGCCTGTGGGCTGTTATTGAAGCCGATGGCCGAGCGCCGGTGGGGGGTTGGGAGAGACGCCGCAGAGAGGCCCGTGATCCCGGCTGCAGACGCCCCGCTCTGTCCTGCTCCCTCCGCCGCCGAGACTCGGCTTTTCTTCCGCGGTGGCGGCGAAGCTCCGCCGGTTTCCGACTCGGAAGAAGAGGCAGCGGAGGCCAGAGTTTTCCTCGCCGGTAATGTCAGAGTCGAGACGCCTCGCGGGCTCAATATCAGCGCGGTCACAGACGCGGAAAAGCCGCCGCCGTTTGCTCGTTCAGTCGCTCGCTCCTCTTGTTATTGTTTGTCAGGGAACAGCTGCAAGTCCATTACGGACGTCCGTGCGCGGTGACGTCACAGGAAGCGCCGCAACAACCTTGAACTCTTTTGATTATGTGCCGTTGTCTTACACGCTGTAAATGTTTTATACACAAAAATAAGATCCTAAAAACAATACCTATATTCAATACTTTCCTTGTTGAAATTTCGTTCAATACTGAATCTCTTAAGCTCAATAATAAAAATAATACATTGCTTAAAGCTTATGATAATCTTTTTTATTAATTATTGAGGCTTTGGAAAGTTTTTTCTCTCTTCTTTATTTTTTCTTTATTGTATTTTTTCTTCAATGCATTGATGCTGTTATTCTTGTATTCATTAAAAAAAAAATTAAAAAGTACCACTGTCTTATTATTTTATTTATTTAATTTATACATTTCTTGTTATTTTATTTTTCTTTAAATGTAATATACATAATGCAACACCATTACTGTATTTTTCTTGCAATGCCCTAAGTTTCAAAGTTGATGCAATCTTTAATTGCTAACGTTTTTGAGATCAGCAATGAAAAAATAATATTGCAAATAATTTAATGATTATTATTGTAATTGATGTGCACAGAATGTATGTGTGAAGATTCGAGATGTGCAGCACCTGAAACTACAGGTACCGGAAGCCTGTGCTGGCATTTCTCCTGCGGTGTTGCTATCAGTGTGTGAGAGTGGGAGAAGAGTCTTGCATTGATAATCCAACACAACGGGCAGCACACTGAACACATTTAATAAGTGGTCAGACACTTTTAAATAACTCATGAAAGAATAAAGTGACGTTAAAACCAAGCACACCATTGCTTTTCTTGTGAAATTCCCAATAGGTTTGATGTGTCACATGACCCTCTTCCTATTAAAAAAAAACAAAAGTTGGATCCAAGATGGCCGACTTCAAAATGACCCCCATGGTCACCACCTATCTTGAAAAGTTTACCCCCTCACATATACTAATGTGCCCCAAATAGGACGTTAATATCACCAACCATTCCCATTTTATTACAGTGTATCAATATAAATGGCCCACCCTGTAGTATAAAAGTCAATGGTTACAGGTTTTGCAGCATTCTTCAAAATATCTCCTTTAGTGTTCAGCAGAAGAAAGATGTTCATAAGAGATGTAATGTGAGTAAAGGATCAGAGATTTGCCATCACTTTAATATGGCGCTGCTTGTTTGGAGGGGTGGAGGGTTGAGTGGAATTACAGGAAAGTTTTGTTTGCAGTAATTATGTCCAATAATAAACAGCTGCTGCTGTAACAACTGATCAGGCTACAGGGTACTCCCTGTCATTAAATACCAAAGAACTGCTGTGCTTTATAATGTACCATAGTAAATCTGTTTTTGATAGAGATTTAGTGTGTATGTATATATATACATACACATATACATGTATATATAAATATATATATTTTCCCAGAGATGGGTTGCGGCTGGAAGGGCATCCGCTGCGTAAAAACTTGCTGGATAAGTTGGCAGTTCATTCCGCTGTGGCGACCCCGGATTAAAAAAGGGACTAAGCCGACAAGAAAATGAATGAATGAATGATATACTGTATATATATATATATTCCTTCGTTTTCTTTTCGGCTTAGTCCCTTTATTAATCTGTGGTCGCCACAGCAGAATGAACCACCAACTTATCCAGCATATGTTTTACACAGCGGATGCCCTTCCAGCTGCAACTCATCTCTGGGAAACACCCATACACAGTCCTTCTCTCACACACACACACACTCATACACTACGGCCAATTTTTAGCATACCCAATTCCCCTACAGCGCATGTGTTTGGACTGTGGGGGAAACCGGA